GCCGGGTAGTGGGGGTTGGGGGTGAGGGGTATTGGGGGTGTAAAGGTAGTGTCGGTTATTTAGGGGTGGGTGTGAGGGGTAGTGGGGTTGGGGGTGGTGTTGGGAATGTGTAGGTTGGGGGGATGGAGCCCGGGGGTGTGTTCGGGGTCAGAGAGGGGTTTTTTGGGCCTTTAGGGGTGTGTGTGGGGGGGTGCTAACGGTGGGTGAATTTTTTTTTTTTTTTTCGGGTTTGAGTGTTCGGGCACGTAGGCACACGTGTCCGAGGCCCAACGCGTGAATTTCGTTTTTTGGAATTCGACGTGACGCCCCCGTTTTTGCGTTTGACGCGATTCAACAGGGACCCTGGGGCCCGTTAAACGGGTGTTCGGGCGTTTAACTCCGCCCGTTCTCCATTAAAAGGATACACAGCCTATACGCCATATTTGTTTTTCTTCCAAATGACGAAAACCCACGTTTCACCAAAAAGTCATCCGAAAGACGTGAACGTATAAAGTATGACAAATCACCAATGTCACAATGTGACTTCTGGGTTCCTGTCCAGAGGGATCAGAACAAGGTACTGCAGATGTTCCACCTATGCGTCACCTGTTGCACCATCATTGCACCTCAGGTGTTCACCTTCCCACTAAAGCACCTTCAAATCTCTGCGTCATTCACCTGCAAGTTTCTACAACATGCTCGTCCTCCATCCCTTCGGAATCGATTCAAATATCATCTCAATCAGCTGATACGGCATCAACATGGTCTCATAAGTTATGTTTTTGGAGTTATGCACGAAGTCATCTACACCTTCGACACCATCCAACCAAATCCTAACTTGTCTTTGAAAGTTGAAACCGATCCAGTCGGAATTCCGAGCACGTACATCCTTCCCTCGTTTCCAACTTTCCACCACTGTCTGTTTGTAGTTATGAACCACACTCGCCACAATGTTGTTCCTCAACCTGACAATCCTTAGTCTCTCTACTACAAGCGATTGCCGACCTGATTGTCAGTTCAGCACAAAAGTCCAAATTATCTTCTCTATCAAATGCCTAACCGAACGCATATCGATTTGCGTCGAAAATTACCCTTTAATGATAAGTCTCTTGCGTATCTCAATCCCGAACTTGGATTTTATAATGTTAGCTTGCTTCAATCGAAAAAAATTGTGTGTCGTATTTCTAAAGAATAGTGTCGTCGTCCTATACAGCGCGAGTAATCTGCTACTCGACAACTTGTACAAGTGTCTTACGGACTCTAACCCGCCATGGCTGCACAATCCAATTTTTCAGATTCCTCTTGTTGCGCTGGACAGTTGTCGACGTCACCACCACCTTTAGTACGTGGAACTTCAATCTTGGTTCTATCTCCTTTTTTGCATTCTTCAACTTCCATCGCTCGAGATTCAGCACGACCAAAGATTCGCCATACTTTTATCGTACTAGCTTCTTCCATGAGTCAATCCAAACGTTGCTCTTTTTGAACAACATATCGAACCCGACCTTCACGTGAGTCATCCCGTTGAGCAAGCTGAGTAGAGATGCACATTTCTGACCATCATAAGTAAAGAAGACCATCTCACTCGATATTTGTTTTTTGTTTCCTCTTACTTACCTCTTCGGATGTTGCTTCTTAAGCCGACCCTCCACATATCCGGTTTGTGTTCAGCGCGGGTGAAAAACGAAAGATCAGAGCACATTCCACCTCTTGACCATCTCGTATATCGGTGGCATGGTTATATAGTTATACCATCCAAAAAAACGTAACCACGTGTGTAGCCTCAATGCGGTCCCGACACTCCCCAACGTTGCACACCTAACATGCTCTGCCCATCTGGTCACGATCCTCCATATCGTACAGCCGATGTACAACCTTCTATAACAAGGACTCACCACCACGTACACACCGGAAAAATTCACATCTACTCGACACAAATCAACGAAGAGAAGAATCTTTCAGAACCATGCCACTAACCCACTAACCTTCAAGTCTTCCACTTGAAGAAGCCTTTGTATGTCAGCCTTGTCCTGCAACATACAAACTCTTGGAGAAGTTCGTTTTTAACAGTGCATTCCACGTCTTCCTGATCACACAGCTTCCTTAATTTTGAGGACGTTATCGCACTCATATGTTTTGTTTGTGTTAGAACAAACTTCATCGAGCCCTCACTTGATGTTCCCGCTGGACATACCTTCTCAAGCGTCTCATATCCCTCAACGATCTCCTACAGTTTTTTACTTTGGCTTTACCTTTCCTCACCATCATGCTCTTTTTCGCCGCGTGACTAGTCTCTGCTCGAATCTCATGTGCACACTTCTTTCCCTTCTTTCGATTCTCGAAAGCGTCAATCAATCAATCAGCCTCCAACTTTACCTCCTTATTGTCGTCCTTGAATTTTGCGATGAAGCTATGTATCTCACGTAACATTCGTGCCTTAGACCTCGACGAGCGTTTCTTTGTTTGAATACTAAGGTGAATTTTCAACGAAACCATTACCGATTCCCGCCGCTGAGAGAGGATACTCTGGATTATTGCTTCTAGTATATATTATTATGGTGATAAGGCAGGCTTCAGGGAGTCTCGCTCACTCTTATCACCTAGTTCAAGTTATTATTATTGTGGTGATAAGGCAGACTTCTGGGAGCCTCGCTCACTCTTATCACCTAGTTTATTATTATGGTGATAAGGCATACTTCTTGGAGCCTCGCTCACTCTTATCACCTA